TACTGGACCCGAGGGAATGACTCAGTGAAGGGGTTAGATACACTGGGTCTGGCCCAGTACAGTGTGGAGAGCTACTACACAACCGTATCTGAAGCTGCGTATGAAACAGGTAAAAACATCTAATTTTATTGTGAATATCTTGGCCACTTTTTGTTTATTTTACTAAAAAGTACCAGTCAGTCTTTCAGTCACATTCTACATTTATATTTACGCATTTGGCAGACGCCGTCCTTCTAAGCGGCTTACACCGCAATCATGGTTTACAAAATCCTAAAAAAGAATTTGGACACTTAAGCCAGACTTAAAGATGTATGAATGTCACTCCGTTTGATAACAAAAGATCATCCAAGTGGCATTTCAAAGAAAATAGCACAAGCACCACAAGCATAACTATTCCACAAAAAGAGGTTTTAGGTTTAGAATGATAATCCAAACAATTGCATAGCATATTTGTCTGCAGATGCCACTTGGTTTGATCATCTGTTTATTAATTTTTTTAATGGACTACAATTCATACTACTTTTTGGTCCCATTGTACATTTAATCATTACATGTATTTCCTAGTAATAAAACTTTGGTGTTGCTAGTGCTGCTAGTGCTGCTAGAAACTGCTGTCTAAAATTTTTTTTTTAAATCAGTTAAATTTACAGTTAAAAAAAGCACCATAAATAATACACTGACAATCTATCAGCTATTACAGGATGGCATGTTGGTGCCTGTATATTTTATCTCATAATCACACATTTTTAAGTGATACTACAACTACCAATATTAGCATTTTACATTATAATGTACCGAAAACCACGATAATACAGGTATTAAAACAGAAAGCAACCGCAGGGACTTCTGGGAATGTATTTTTATATTTTTTTTCACACACTCACACACAGATATATATATATATATATATATATATATATATGGTTTTTACTTGGAAAATTTTTTTTATTTTATATATAATGCAATATTAAACCATTTACAACCATTTCCATTGTATATGATAAAATATCTTACAGTTAATCAATGAACTATTTTTAATGTAGCATTTTTAGTACTTTTTGTGAAAATTGCACACATTTTTTTTCTTTTTTACAGTGAATAACCTGCAATATTCTGGATCTGTTGCAGGTTTTTACCCGAAGCTAGTGCTGCACTTCTCTTTACGTAGAAATGTGCTGTTCTTCATTCTGGAGACATATGTGCCCTCAACACTGCTGGTGGTTCTGTCATGGGTGTCTTTTTGGATCAGTCAATCCTCCGTTCCAGCTCGTACCTGCATCGGTCAGTGATTCCAAGAGCTTATTACTCTAAAAAAAACATTTGCTACAAAAGATTTCTGGATTATAGAAAAACTAAATATTCTCTATCAAATCCATTTATTTGACAGGGGTGACCACCGTTCTTACCATGACCACACTAATGATGGGTGCCAGGACCTCGCTTCCCAATGCCAACTGCTTCATTAAGGCTATCGACGTCTATCTCGGCATCTGTTTCACCTTCATCTTTGGTGCTCTGCTGGAATATGCCTGTGCTCATTTCTGCACCATGCAGCACCAAACCATTGTAGATGTGCAAAGGGTGAGAAACCTCTGGATAGAGGCTAAAATGACACATTTTTACAACCTGTTGTATTTTAACATTTTTACATGAAATTTTCACAGGAACTGCTCAAAGAATTTGAGGAGTCAAATGGTATGACTCACTTGGCAAATTCAACGTCACCCAAAAAGATGCAGACTGAAGAATCCACTCAGCAGGAGACGCCTGAACAATCTGTGACATGCGAAGGGAATGAGGCCACAGACAAGAAGAAAGAGAAGGGGTGCGGTTTGTCCTCCGTAAAGCAAATGTCTCGCCGAGCAGCATCCATGATGAGTGTCGAGAATCCTAACAACATCGACAGACATGCACGTGTATTTTTCCCCATGGTATTTCTCCTTGTCAATATTTTCTACTGGTTCTACTACCTTTTATTCTAATGGATAAACCACTCTTAATGAACAAAGTATTGCACAAATGACTGTAAAAGTGAAAAGTGTTGACTCCCTATCAATTACAGTTAAATAGTGGCCTATAACAAGGACCTGGACTTGGTTCATTGTTGCACTGAAGAAAGTAGGCCTATTTCTACACAACAATGAAAGTGAAGATCACATGGACACACATAAATCACCATACAGACTCATCTGTAGCAGGACACAAAAAAGGATGCTGTTCTACGAGTCCACTCTTTGATTTAGCCTATTTAAGGGTTCAAAGCTTTACTTGTTTTTTCTTCTTGCTTTGTTTTGCTAGTTAAACGTAATGCGCTGTAAGGCTGATGTAAAATCCATAAGCACTGACCATAATAAATGGCACTAAGTAAAACCAATAATGGTCAGTGTATGCATGTCATTATGTACAGTGCGGTACGCAAGTCTGAGTCAGGGGTGTAATTCAAACCTGTAAATACATAAAAAAAATTGTAAAAAAAATTTGAGAAATGTTTAAGATTATGCAATATTTCTAGGTGCCCAATAAATTAATTTCGGAACTCCGATGGTTCACCACTAGGGGGTGTTGATCTCAAAGTGAACCCATGATGAACCACTTCTGGTTGCCCAGTTAATCATGTGACATCAAATCCCACGAAATTTTACTATAAAAAAATTAAGAATTCAGGGCCAGATGTTGTGGGTTAAACAAAGGATAACTTCCCTTTAACACAGATGGCTATATAGTTTAAAAAATGTGTAAAAACATTCAGTACTTTCAACCTACAAATCACATCATACCTTAAAAATAACAAAATGATCTTACGATAGAATTAAATTCACCCCCTTCTCCTGACTGATAACACTACTCTTGCCTGCTGCTTTTTATAGACAGCTCTAATGAAAACACTTAATTAAATTAATTACATAAATTAATGAATTCATTAAATAATTAATTTAGTTCATTGTGTTAAGGGTTTGATTATACTTAAAACACATAACAAGCACTGCTATTTAATAGTATTTAAGTGTTTATCATTTATTTTAAAAAATATTTCTAAAAAAAAACATTTCGGTTTGTTTAGTAAGTTTGGTCTGAGTTCTTGATGCTTTTA